CGCTTATAGATGGCGGTAGCTGTCCAGGTAGGTTTGTGTCGACATACACAGACACGATCCTGGGGAACCCAGCCCTTAACAGCACCGCTCTAATAACTGCGCAATTTGTTTTTCACCGACGTGTTTACACCAATTATAGCAAATGTTTATGTAGTAAAGCGAACAAGAGCCGGCACGTGTCGGCAGAATATGCAGTCGTATTGCAAGACTCGAATACAGAGGACGCTAAACTCAAACGTTCCCTCATGTCTCATTTTGCCCCTCTTTACCGTATGTGTTTTTTAATCTCCCCTCTATGTAATGAATTATATAAAAGGATGCCTTTGAGGCCAATAAATTGATATATATATATATATATAAATACAAAACAAACATACATCATCACAATTTCGTTTAATACTCCACTACACTCGAGCAGCAACATATATGCGGCGAAGAATGCATATTAAAATCGCTAAAGTTCTAATACACACAAATGATAGCTTCAGCACACAGTTACCTATCGCACCAGTTCAATCTTTAGTGCGGCTGAAACACCTTCATAGTGAACTATATTCAATGATATATTACGGAAAATCCACACTTTGACGTGATGGCAATCATAAAAAAACATTGAAGTTATTATGGTTGAATGCACTTATGATCCCTTTTTATCGGTTTTGCTACCTCAGTGTTTAACCTCTGTTTTTTTTTTTTAATACGTGATGAGAATTTTGGACGTCCCGCTTCCTAAACAAAGTTTAGGTAAGTAGATTTTAAAAGAGAAGAACTCTAGTAGGCTGGACGTTCCACACGGACATGTTTTTTCCAACCTCATGTCATTCAAATGCCTTGAAAATCGCAGAACTGAGGCTTCTCCGAAGAGATGGTTTTTAAAGGGGATTTGAAGCGTACTTAGAACATTTCGTACTTTTTAACTTGTTTTATACGTATGAACCTAGACAGCCAAGCTTACGTTTTAGTTTTCTGAATTTTATTTTATTTTTTTTGCTATTAATATATGATATTGCAAGAAGTGCCGAAAATTCGGATATTTGAAGACCGGGAAAGCTTTATTTCGCCTTTCAGTATATATAAATGAAACGATATCTACTGTGAGTGTTATGAATACAGATCAAATTATAGTAAAATAATCTTAGGATACTAAGACACGAGTACCAATATATTATGGGCTTTAAGTATTTGCAATTTATAAGGTGATATTTCAACCCCATCTTTAGGATAAGAAAGGACATTTTTGTATTTTTACAATACTCGAGACGAATTTTAATAGATTTATTTTCAAACTATATGTTACATTATCGTACGTAGATTCTTTTAAAATTGAATCCTGACCCAATTCTTCAAATTGACAGCGCTTCTGTCGTCGTAAGTATTCCTACTGGTTGAACTATTCCGTCCCGCAATATGTCCGTAAGAGTAGTATTTCTTAAAAGCTAACTACATCTCTGCTTTTGAAAATGCCATCTTTGTTACAAGAGGTAGGTAGTTAAACATAAATCAGTTTAAGAAAGACAATAAACTATCACTGCATATTTCTACTGAAGTTGAATAAAATCACTCAATGTGCTGTAAGGGCGTTCTTACGCCTCGAAACATCGTACCAACCAGCATGTTTTCCCATAACGTGCGAAGATGATTCATAGCATCGTCACAAGCCTGTTTCGATGCAAAACTTATAACTTAAACTTCTCTCTAATTTTGAACAAAGAAGGCACAATCTGAATAACGTGATTCATAGCATCGTCACAAGCCTGTTTCGATGCAAAAACTTATTACTTAAACTTCTTGCTAATTTTGAACAAAGAAGGCACAATCTGAATAACGTGATTCATAGCATCGTCACAAGCCTGTTTCGATGCAAAAACTTATAACTTAAACTTCTTGCTAATTTTGAACAAAGAAGGCACAATCTGAATAACGTGATTCATAGCATCGTCACAAGCCTATTTCGATGCAAAAACTTATAACTTAAACTTCTCTCTAATTTTGAACAAAGAAGGCACAATCTGAATAACGTGATTCATAGCATCGTCACAAGCCTGTTTCGATGCAAAAACTTATAACTTAAACTTCTTGCTAATTTTGAAGACAGAAGGACCATCTGAATAACGTATTGATTATGTGTTTATCAACACTATTTTTGTTGACAATGTTTTCCCTGAAGACGTTGTGTGAGGGTGTTTATGAAGCAAAAAAAATTGACGAGGATTTTTTTGCATGCTGATCTGTGTGGTTTGAGTGGATCGTTTCTTAGACATCTTCGATTGTCAATTGTGCTGCCCTTCAAAGCATTTATTCGCTGTTATACATAAAAAGCACGAATGAGTTAAAGTATGGTAAGTTTATTTATAGCCTTTCAATGAACGTATGTATATAGATATAGTATAGTTTTACTCAGGCAAAGATAACATATTGATTTACCAAGTCTTTCCGTTCCAATTACGTACTAAACATTTGTGCCAGTCTGGATCGTAACGAAAAAAAGTGAAGTAAAGCAACTTCATCTTCGTTAACTTTATAAAAAGGTACGATCGGGTAACACATTTCCTTATATATATATATATATATATGTTTGTGTCTGTGTGTATATAATTACATTTCGAACAAAAAAAGATTTGTTCGACATGTTTCCGTCAGAGGGATTGGACGACGCGTGTATTGCGACTATGAATGCTTGATAACTAGATTTTCGCTTAAGCTTTTATCCCACAGAAGAGCTAACTGTCCGTGATTTGGTATTCCTGCATAAGATTATTATTGGTGCCATTAATTCTTCGTGGCTTATTGGTAAAATAAATTTTCATGTTCCTTTCTGCGCTACGAGACAGTTCACCTGTTACGATATTTGTTCACCATGCCGCGTGTCACCTCTTTGTCGTTTACAGACATTAAACAACAGCATTGTGCCACCTCAAGTTGACATCACCACACCTGTCTACACATCGCTGTCAATTGGACGAAATTTTTTTCGCCTTCTAGCGCGTCAGTGTATACGGATATTTATATTTTAATGAGGTCGATTACTTTTTAAGAGTTCGATTACTTTTTGAGAGTTTTCTATTTAGGAGTTGGTATACCAAAGAGAAGGGCGCTTAGCCGTTTTAGGGCACCCGAAAAATAAATATCATTATTATTAATATTATTATTATTATTATAAAATTATTATATATTATATTGATTGATATATTATTATATTATATAATAATTATAATAATTATCTAATATAATAATTAGTATATTACATAAAAGAAAACTTGTGTGTTTCTGAAGTCCACTTAGACGCAAGGTTCTTGATACTCCTTTTCTTCTACACTCATCGAACTGTGTTGATTGTAGGCGGATACCTATTAACCAAGTTAGTACAACCAAGTATTTGGGCATACCGTTTGATAGTGATCTCTCCTGGAATTCCCATCTTTGTCATATTGCTAAAAAAAACTATAGTGTTTCTTGTTTGCTTTATTCAACAAAAATGTTTCTGCCATTCATAGTCCGAAAAATGACAGCAAAGGCTCTTGCTTATGGTGTGCTGCGTTACGGTATTACTCTGCATGCTAACTGTTCATTGGGTTGGCAAAATAAAATTGACAGTATTCTTAAAGGAATTTTGAAAGCATACGGTACCAACATCTCATCTGTTAATCTCTTCCCTTTTTTACATCTCCCTCGTTTTGCAACACTCTTCGAAAGATGTGTCATAGAAAAGCATTACTGGAATAGTCCTTTTAAAATTCCACGTACAACACAGCGTTCACTGAGGGACAGCGAAGATTTTGCGCTCCCTGGAGTGTACACAAAATATGAAAAAAAAAAAAAGAAAGCGCTCATTTTATGTTCTCGATATATTTAACAAATTGACAGTACCCCTTCTTAAAATAAACTCAAAACGACAATTAAAAATATTTCTGAGCACAAAGTTTTCAATATCGTTACTCTGTTTCCTCATTTTATTGTGTTGGCTCTATTCTGCTGTGTTGTAAATAGTATAAATGTTTGCATTTTTTTTTTGTGCATTCGACGTGTTGTAGTTCTTTTTTGTTGTTGTGATGTATGTTTATATTCCGATTTCCAATGTTGTTTGCTTGTACGCCGTGGCCGAGTCACGTTTCACACGCCATTACAGGCTTTGACGGGCCCGTTAACGTCAAGTATGTCAAGACTGTCAATGAAATTATTATTATTAATATTATTATTATTATACTATACGACTATATGACTAGAACTTTGCCATACCTCTTTTTTCTCTTCTACTAGAAAAATAGCTTATATTTGTATAGTATATTTTTTCCTTGACTTTGACAATAACTTTCTGACTGGCATTGTCGTGTAGTTTTCACAAGTGGAGAAACCATTGGGTGCTTTTCTGCTTTGTTTTATTATTTTCCGAAACTCTCTTATATACCACTGCTACTTAAGTTCACTCCTACAAGCCCCAGCTGGCTTCGACGAACCTGCCTAGTGCCGTCCTGAATACATGCTGCGTAAATAAATCATTTAATATTATTATTTTTATTATTATTATTATTAATATTATTATTATGATTATATAGCCTTGACTAAGTTTCGAGTAATTCAGCGTGCGGTTTACACTTTTTAGGGTCCTATAAATACATTAGTATTTATACATCTTCGACCCTTGTGTTCAAGAACATCACAATTATTCTTTAAAAAAAAGCACGCCACAAATGAGAGGCGCTCTTTTTTTTTCTTTTTTTTTTTTTCGGAAACGCGGTTTTGCATTTAGGTACACTGCGCGAGACGGTTAACGCGAACACAATGATAACGTTTTTTTTTTCTTTCATTTACCGTTAGTTTAGTGCCCCAAATGAAAGCTTCCTATAGTTTTAAAGACAGCTTTTCAAGAAAGAAACCGGGAAAAAAATATATACTATGACCGCTTGCTGGCGCAACCGGTATGGCGCTTCGTGCGTTTACGGGTGTAGCATGACACGCTGATTTTGGAAACTAGAACGGCGCTAGGCTTTTTCTATACTCACATGGTATTGCCATTGTTGAGTCGTTTGGATCGGGACTGTACTCTTCCTTGGGAAAGTAGTCGATCAAGACGCAGTGCATATCCGTTTTGCCAGCTGAAAGAAGAAAAGCGACACGAGAATTAAAAAAAAAAAAAAAATTTGGCCGAATGGTAAAACATTTACGACGGGCAGCTATTTCTTATGATATTAAAGGAAGTAACATCGAAACTAAAATATGGGCATTTTATTCGTTAGGTTAAAATGACCTGACGGTTTTGTGGTAGACGTTTATGTAGAAAAAAAAAACAAAAACAAACAACTACACTACATCAGTCATGGTAAATTGTACGGCATAATCACCGAAAGCATGTATGAGCTACCACCAATTATTACAATTGTCAAACTTGAAAGTTACAGGCGGAATTAATAGAGGACGTGGGGGCTGATTGTGTAACAATGACCCGTACGTTCAAAGCCACTCATGTACTGCCTTTAAGTTCGGTTACAGTAGTTGCTAAATATATGCATTTGAGCAATACTTTTCTTGATAAAAGCGAGGGGGGACCTCGGTAATGACAAATTTGGTTGTAGCCTCGGACATTTATCTACATTTCAGTAAAGTCAGCACACTTTTTGACGTGACCTGGCGCGTGCCTCTAGCTAAAAGTCTAATAAAACCTTATTCTGAAGTGCGCCTCCTACTGGTTTTTTGCTCCTGCATGGAATTTGGCCATTGGGAAACAGTCTCTTTATAAAAGCAGGCTTGATCGAGATACCGGTGCGTTTATAAACACAAGTTAACTTAGAGGGTATTAGGTACTTAGCAAGTAGAACAAGTAAGTCACCAGGAATGGGCGCCCTACGCTTCACTCGTAGGGCAATGTCATGAACCGGGAATGTGAGAGGTTACACTATTAAAAAAGAAAAACGGTTTCCAGATTACCGAATCTGACATATCGCCCGGTATCAGAAGAAAATCAAGGTGACGGGACTAAAAACTCGCTTACATATATTTTTTTTTGCATAATTAAATGGACAGTTGTGTAACGCGCTAGTGGTATCTGGTAAAGTGCGCTAAAATAAAAAAGGCATTTTTGTATAAATAAAATAACTAAAATGATTTATACTGCGATGCATTTTAATACTGCCATGCTCTGTTCACGCCAGGTTCGATTTTTTTTTTCTGTTGCCGAAATTGTTGCGTAGATTGTCGTTGAAATGCGTTAACATTTTCCGCGGTCTTGTACCGCGTTGCTGCGGGACAGGACGACGTTGAGACGCGCCTCGCACTTCGCGCACACCACAAACCCAGGGGCGGATCCAGAACTCCGTTCTGGGGGAGGGGGGGGGGGGCGCAGAAAATTTGTAAGGACGCTATTCTCCCATTATTTCGTGTGCAGTGGGGAGTCCACCCATGTCAAATTGCCCTCCGAGAAGGGGGGACGGGGGGGTCGACTTGGTTTGGGGGGGCGGGGGGTGGTGGCCGCCCCCGTCGCCCCCCCCCCCCCCCCCCTTGGATTCGCTACTGCACAAACCTGTCTGCCGACTTCTCGGGAAACATCGCTGAAAGCAGGTCCGCGTAGCGGTCTTTCACAGCGGCTACATTCGGCTGGAAACACAGGCGGTCGCCACAAGCTGCCCTCCAGGGCGAACGAATCGTTGAGAAAACTATTTTTAGGCTACTCCTCGGCTAACACGTGCGTTTGTATTCGCTTGTTGTGCCGTTTTGTTGCCGGTGCTTGTCTCGCCTGCATTGCGTCCCGTTTGTGTTGTAGCCGAAGTTGCCTCTTTTCGTTTCGCCAGACATCATCCACCTGACGTTCCGTTTGCATTGCAGCCAAAGTTGGCATTCTTCATTCGTTTTGCAAGGCGTCTTCGCCTGCTTGGAGTCTCAATCGCGTCGCAGCCGAAGTTGCCGGAGTGGTTCGTTTCATCGGCCTTGGTGCTTCCTTGGGGATTTTATGGCAATCTATTAAAGTTTTAGGGTAAGAATATAATTGCCACGTCCTGCTAATTTTTCTTTTCCAATATCAGTGTGAAGATCGTGATAATCTTACGTCGCGTACTCGCTATTATAATAAAAAAGTAGACGCGAAATATGCGGGTTAAAGTGATTTAAAAAAATTAAAAGCTTTGTGGTACAAATTACCTATTAAAAGGGATTTGAAACGAAATGAGAGCATGCAACCCTATTGAAAACCCGTTTATGGCGCCCACTAGGATTTCTTAAATGTTTGACGTACCCTACAGAAATGTTTGAGGGGTTTAAGATGTTAGTCGAAGTTTTCTGAGGGGCCTGCGTACCTTTCAAAAATGTCTAAAGGGTGTAAGCGACCCGTCCTAGTTTTTTTAGAGGCCTGTGGAGTCTGTCCCAAACCTTTCTGTGAAACTACAGTACTCATCAAAATTGTTTTAACGGGTCTGTGGGAGAGATCCCGAGACCCTTCAGAAACGATGCGTTGGGGAAGTTGCTTGAACATTTTGTAGCGGGCGGCCGCAACGAGTATCGGAAATTGATTAGGAGTTCCCCCGTCCCTATCCCGTCGTGTCCATGGTTAACGCGTTACCATTGCTGTGTCCGCGTGTTTTTGTATGCGTTTCACGGGCTGGACCTGGGACGCCCAAGGACGTCAAGTCTTCACTCACGAGGGAGAGAGGGAACGTGGGAAATGGGAGAACTTTTTGCTGTTTGTGTGAAGATAACCTGTTTTAGCCAGTCGAAATACAGCCTTTGTCAGAACTTGGTCGCCCTGTTTTCTATTTCTTTTTTCGTCAACGAGCGCAAACTGAATGCGCAACAATGAGCGAACGATCAGTGTCGGCTTCCCGTCCCATGCGTGGGACCTATCCTCTAGAGCAGCTGGGTGGTCGGATCAAGAAGGTATCTCAATGCCCTGTTTCATGCGCCTTTTCGTCCGTTCGACTTCAGATGCATCCGGCGAGCGAAAAAGACGTTGCAAACGCCACCACTACGGCCCCAGGGACGACACTGAAACTGTGCTCAGGATTTATCAACGGCGGAGGATGTTGATTGCGGTATCGTGGTTTTCGCTAAACCTGCGTATCTGTGCATGCGAAGCATCTACGCGGTCTTATTAGTTAAACTATCGTACATCTCATGTATTTACCCAGCGGCATTGTGAGTACCTCGAAAGATATTTTTGCGACAAAAAACTCGGTTGACTCTATTTAGTCTGATGGCTTTTGTATACAGCTGCTTGCGTCCGGGGTTGAGTAAAAGTTAGGTCTTCTAGCCTTTTCAGTTACAACATGCATGCAAATTGCAATGTCCGAAATACATTTCCAATAATGTTTTAAACTGCATTTTCGCTTATTGTTCAGAGTCATTCGGGCGTCTAAAAGGTTGAAGGGCTGAGGGGGTCTGAAAGGCTGAAGGGTCAAAGGGCGGAAGAGATTCGAACGGCTGAAAGGGTTTGAAGGGCCGAAGGGTTTGAAGAGCTGAAAGGGTCCCACAAAATAACACAAGCTGAAATGATGTTATCTTCAATAGAAAAGGCAAGGAAAAATGCAGTAGAACCTTCAATAATGTAGCGGGATACGTGAAAAACGCCGACGCAACGTTTGCTTAATTATAAACTTGAACAGTAATCGCTTAACGAATTTGCTACTGGGTCAAGTTGAAACACTGCCTCGCAGAGATCGTAAGATCGATAAAACTCAAGTAGAAAACGCAACGGCCATACGGGACATTTGTGGTTTCAAGTTCGCAATTTCTTTTGTAAAACAATCTACCCTGTTCATGTCTGGGTATTACTGTTTGGTTTCTTCATGCATTAAAAAAGGGCTTCGTATAGTTCGCACTAGCCTGTCTGCAATCCTTCGCGGAATGTGTGACACCAATACGCTGGTTTCCTCGCAGTTTCATTTCCGTCCATACAAGAGAAGCATGACGTTTTTCTGGGATTGAAGTGATAACTGCCTTCTAAATAAAACGGAGAGCGAGGAAACATGAACCGCAAGGAAATGAAGACTATTTTGATTCTGTCTTTTACGATCGTCTAATAAGATTAAAGATGCGCGGAAGGCGCGCCTGCAGGATACACCTTTACAAGAAGCCAACCACCTGAGCATGCACCACCACTGCCGCGGTACGTCAGACACTGGCATTGGTCCGGGCAAAACACAAAATGACAAGGTATTGCTAATTCATATTGTAAATATTAAACCTGGTCAAGACGTTCTACGCGAAATACCGATGAGGAACACTTCGGCCACCCCTTTTTAGATTAATCATGGTGTGAACATTACTGTGACGCGAACATAGCTCGCAGGCACCAACTGTCAGCAGATCACCAACATGGCCGTCACGTGACGTCACAGGAACACCCTTCCCCTTGCACTAGGGGACACGTCCGCCTATGCCGGGCACCGCAGCAATACCTTTCGAAATGCGTCGGCTCCTTGCTCTCGTCGTCTGGCAGCAGGCGCGAGAGTGCCGCTCTTATTAATGAAACTTCACGATCAGGTGCAGCAACCGCTTTTCTCCTCTCTCCTCACCGTTAGCCCTCCTCTCGCTCACCTCTCAGCGCCCACCAAATGACCCGGTCGTGGGGCGCATGCGCAGGGAACGCTGGCCGCCACCGGCCGTCTTCCTCCGATATTCGAGGACGGCGACGCGGAGGCGAGAAGAACTAGCGGAACGAGAGCGGAACCGTCCCTCCCGTTTTCCCCATGGGAATTACGTTCGGGACTACCGCTGCTTGACGAGGCGGCGCTGCGGGCGCTACTGGTGTTAGCGAGTGCAGTGTCGCCGGTGCTCTAGGACATCGAGCAACTCAGGGGGAGTCAGTAGAGCCGAGCCGATCCCAAGGGGGCGCCAGCATCGCGCGCTCGTTTCCGATGAGAAGTTTGGAAGCTCGGTGCTGCTATGTTATGTTCTTTAGCACTTTTAGATTTCCTTTCTTCAGACAGCTAGGCTGAGAAAGCCGGTTAAAAAAAAGAGATGACTGAAATGCGACACTCGTCTTTTTTTTTTATTTGTTTCTTTTGTAGAGCCGTTCACTCGCGTGGATTCTCCAGCGAGAAGAAAAAAAATATGAAAGCAGAAGGGGGGAAAAGCAAAATGAAGGTGTTCGATTACGTCCGGGCCCTGA